GTTGGCTGCCGGCCACTCACAGTAGCTTACAGCAGCCCACTGCAGCCTACGCCATCGCTGGCGACTCACGGCAGCCCAGCTCCAGGTCAAACTGTTGTTCACCGTCTTAGCTGTAAAGGGTGCAGTGTCACTGGCCCATGTGGGATTCGAACCGGCAGCCCTGCTGCTCAGAGCTCACACTCCCAAGCCAACTCTTAACCAAGCCACTCGGCTGGCCCCCTAAAGGTGATTTTTATATTTCCTTTGCTCCACTTAATTGGAACTCTTCTATAAAGAAGAATTCACGCTTCTCTCCCACTTATTTATCAATATAGAGTCATGGGTATTTATTTCATTCTATGAGTAATAATTCAGTATGATTTTTATTTTGTTGTTCAAGTTATTCCAGCTTTTCACCATTAGAGCTGAATCAGTTGGTTCCTGTGTCTTTTTGACATGCTCCCATCCTTTTCAAGTGCTTCTTTATTTTCTGGCTCCACAAGATTTCCAAGATCATCTTATGTATTTCCTGCACAGCCCGAGAATGAACATCTTCAAGGAGCTCTGGTTCCTATTAATGGAGAAATAGTATTTAGGAACCAAGATCTGCGTGCTAGGGGTTATCACTGCTACTCTCATAGGCATTTAATGAAGTGTGTGAAGTGTGTGTGTGTGTGTGTGTGTGTGTGTGTGTGTACACACGTTAACACATACATTTATATTTGTTTCAACATCCATCTGTATATTAAAATTATGTTCACCCCAATACCCCCATTCCATTTTAACACCATAAAACTCATGCTAGTTTTCCCACTTCCTTAGTTATAACTTTTCTCTGACAGTGTAATTAGTTTTCAATGTAGCATAAGTTAGCATATTCAGTGTCTTAGAACGACCCTCCTTTATTCTCTGTGAGTTTCTGTAGGTCAGAGTCTGCACAGCACAACTGGGTTCTCTGGTGCTTTCACATCTGGAGCTTTACAGAGGAGGCCTGCCGCCAAGCTCCCTCAGGTTATGGACAGGTTGATTTCCTTGTGGCTGTGAATTCATAGCAGCTTGTTTTTACAAATCCAGCAATGAAAGAGTCTACTGCTTCAAGTCCATGGTCTCTAGACTCTCTTTCAAAGTCTTGCCTGATTTGTCAGTCCCAGCCAGAAGAATCTCTTTTGATCTTGAAGTCAACTGATTAGGGCCTTGATTACATATGCAAAATCCCCACCTTGGCCTTATAATGTAATCTAATCAAGGAGTGACATCCCATCACCTTTGCCATATTCTGTTGGTTAGAAGCAGTCACAGGGGCAGCCTTCACTGAAGGGGAAGGAATGAGAAGCTGTGAATCACTAGGAGTCCCCTTTAGGGTGTCCGCCACACCTGGCTCTCATTATCATTTGTTCAGTCCTAGTGTACACATAAAATAATGACAGAATTGCGAACTCATACCTCTGAGAGAGACAGATTTACTAATTCGTGTATTTGTGCACAGTTCTTTTTGTGTCCTAGCCAGTCAAAATACTGATTTCCAGTTACTTAGGTTAGTTTTTTTCTTCCCTTTTCCTTTCAGTGTGTTTATGTACCGTATTTGCCGGCGTATAAGACGATTTTTTGGCCCTGAAAAATATGCCTCCAAGTGGGGGGTCATACGCCAGGTACACTTCAGATAGACTGCCCATAGTGCTTGCCCCGTGCCATAGTGGCCTCCCGATGCCCGCCCACTTCATTCCACATACCGT